ACTGAGTAGGGACAAGTGGACAACAAACTTGCAAAGGCTTGCAAGTAAGAACCTGACTTGGATAACCTTTTGGAGAAAAATTATTGGATGATCATTCTGTTGAGTTCAGGATGAGACAAGATGAAGTTTATTGGTTATCACTATAAAAAATTGCATAAACTGCAGAAGTTTAATTATGGAATAACCGCCAATACTTACGGTAAATTTCAGCAATTTTTTTAACCGACATAATAAAACTTCCATGATTTACTAAATATTTTAAAATATGTCCTAAAAGTTACACGTTTTAAGTTTCACACGCTTCCATCGTGTTCTTTTGTCACAATTATTAAATTAAAAAAATCAATATAAATTAATAGATAATATTTTATATTTATACTAATTAAAAAAAAACTAATTTCCTTTCATCTCCTTCATCGCGTTCCAGTCTCATTTCTCCTTTTCCTTTCATGATTTCGATTTCGATTGAAGCTTCACTCTTATCCTTTCAATTTCTATTAAACATTCATCACCATTGTCATTGTATTTTCTCTCCCTCTTAGCGATCCAATACATTCTCTCTCTCCTTAATCCATTTTCTCAATCGAAGCCCAACCCTAAAAGTCATTCAAGATCAAACCCTAACAATGATTTTAAGTTTGAATCATGCCTAATAAATATTGATACTGATATTGAACCCTAGAAAACGAGCCTAGAAATTATTGGAACCTTGATTTCAAATTTGTTTCTTGGCCTTCCCAATCGGTTGCTCCGCTGCTCCATGGTCTCACCGCACAAAAAATACTCAAGTGCATTGTACACTCGGGAATATAAACAGAATCGCCACCGAATTTTATTTATTCCTACAAGGAAAGGTAAGAGATCGAGATAACCCACAAATAAACGAGAAATGGATAAGATGGTTATCACAATAAACTTAGGGTTCAGGAGTCGATTATGCAAGGGGAAGGCATTAACATCCTCACATTCATCGTACTCGATGATACCCATTTAGCTAGTCTTTGTGATCGAATGTTAGTGTGATGTTTTATTTCTTTATATTATTATGCGATAAAAAAGAAAAGGAAAATATTTTTGGTTTTTGAATGTGGGATCGCCAAGATATCAGAACCTTGTTGTGCCTACGTATTCTCCAAGTGTCATAGGAAAGTCAAAACTTATGTAGTTCTTGATGAACTAAAATGTTGGTTGATTGGTTGATTTTATTTATGAAAAGGATATTAATCATACATTGACGATAAGACTCACTAAGTAATTCGCATGTGTGCGAAAGATTGAAAAATACTCGCACATGGGCGAGGTTTGATGAGTTTGGATTGTTTTTATCTTTTGTGAAATAAGTCACAAAACTTGGTGATTAATTTGAAAAGAGTTGGTATATGGACCAAGGTTTAATTGTTTTTAGATTTTTGTCGTGAAAAGGATTTATTTTATTTATTAAATTGATGAATAGAGGAGGTTGATGGCGATGCAAAAGCAATCGACTTATGAGAGTTGAGAAATGAGTTTAAGAAATCAATTTACAATGGTTAAAAGATGGTTCGATATTGGATTGAGTATTTGCTTTTTATGAAGACTTATTTTTAGTTTTTTATTTTATTTTAGGGTAAAATACTCATTTTGGTCCCTTAACTATACCCTTGGGTTCAGATTGGTCCCTTAATTTTTTTTTGTGTCACCTTGATCCGTTAACTTTCAAAAAGTTTCATTTTAGTCTTTTTTGTCTAATTAGCGATAGAAAAACTTAAAATCGATCGCTAAATTTGTCGCTAATTGGTCAAAAAGGACTAAAGTGATACGAAAAAGAATTAATGGACCAATCTAAACTCAAAGATACAGTTAAGAGACCAAAATAAATATTTTATCTTTATTTTATTAACTATGCTGACAATTATCTAACAAAGGAATTAAATAATCATGCAAGTAAACTAAAAAGTTTAAAAATAGCAAATCAACACATAAACTAAAAACAAAGCCTAACCTAACAAAATATGAGAGTTTTATATATATATATATATATATATATATATATATATATATATATATATATATATATATATATATATATATATATATATATATATATATATATATATATATATAAATATATATATATATATATATATATATATAATATATATATATATATATATATATATATATATATATATATATATATATAATATATATATATATATATCATATATATAGTATATATATATATATATATATATATATATATATATATATATATATATATATATATATATATATATATATATATATATATATATATTATATATATATATTTGTTACGAAAAGAAAATATTTGTTTTGAAATTGTGAAGAAGTTTAATTAGCCAATTAAAATATATTTAATTATTTAATCAAATTAATTAAAATCAACTAAAATAGTCAAATTTTAATTAACAAGATTTATTAATTAAAATATCATTAATTAGTTAATAAGAAAAAAGAAATAGAAGAAAACAATAAAAATTTTTTTACAAAAAACAGGGGGTTGTTTTAGCAAATTTGTTGGTGAGAAATAAAAACCCGATTGGGCCACTAGGGTCATGAGGCCCACATATTGGGGGAACATGAAAAAAAAACCTTGAAGCTCTAAAGCTAGCCACCGCCCAAGCCTCTATTCTTTCTCCATCAATTAATCTCATTAAATCTATTCAAATTCCTAATTAATTTCTTGATATTCAATTAATGTTAATAAACCTGGTTCAATTAACAATAAAACAAAAAGCTTTTTCTCTCTCTTTCCAAACCGTACGCTCCCTGTGTTCTTCCCCTACGTTTCATTTACAAATTTTCTTCACCACGGCTTCCTCTTTACTCTTTCCATAAAGAATTTTAAGTAAATTTTTTTTTTTATATATTTGATAATTAATGTATGTAAAAAAATATTTAAAAAAGTAGAATAACAAAAAAAACCTTTACAGTCTCATTCCACACAAATTAAAGTTGTTTATTATTATAAAAAAGTAAAAATAAAATAAACAATAAAATATTGTTTTTATTTAAAAAATTATTTTTAATTTCTATTTATCTATTTAATTAATAAATATTAGGCTTAAATGTATTTTAGTCCTCTATTTTCGGTTTTTTTTGAAGTTTCAGACCCCCCATTTTAAAAGCTAGGTTTCAAGTCACTAAAGTTTACCTGCGTTGAAATTTTTCCAGTCTCCCTCCATCTAGCTGTTATTGTAATGACCTGGCATGGGTGTTGAACATCCACCTCATATTTTTTAAATTTTTTTATTCATGTGTAATATTTAAAACATTAAAAATAATTTGAAATTTTTAAAAAACATTTTTAAACTAAATGTAATTAAATTAAATTGAGAATAAAGTGTTTATAACTCTAAACCCTTTCGTTCCATGAGACCAGTTGCAAGATTTACATCATCTTCTTCTCCTCCATAGCTAGGGCACGAAGAGCAACCAGATTGTGAAGAATGCAAAATGAGACCGATATGACGAACGCACAAGTGAAATTTTGTTTGAGGTAAGTTTTTTTGTTTCGTTTGAACATGATTATCGATGTTGAAGTAACAATTATATATGCTCCTTTGTCTGTTCGTAATCCAACATGTTACTTTATGTCTGTTGTGGTCCACTGTTATACCCCAATTTTTGTCCCTAAGATTTTGTCATCTCATAGCATCACAATGCATCAAGATCATGTTGTCTTCAAGCTTCGTTCGGCATGGTTAAAACAAGTTCGGATGCTTGATTATCAAGACTCTTCGAGATAGGTTCATGTGTTTATTCTCATGCCTTCTTCGATGAGTAATATCAAATTTTGGCAAGTGTGAATATTATTTAATCAGAATTTTGCCATCTCAAGCTCAAATGTTCTGTTAGGATTTTCAATTACGAGTATCATAAATGTCTCCAATGACAATGTTCATCAAGCTACAGTGTCGTTTTCATCAAGATTCCTCAAAAACAAGTGCATTAGGGCTTTAACTTTGTGTGCTTAAGTTTCATCATGTCTTGCAATTAAGCAGGCTTATGAGCTAGGTTTTGATTCCTCTCAATACCTCAAGTCATCTCCTCATCAATGTGCATCCAAATCAAGAGAATTGGGGTTCCTCCTAATTGTTTTCACCACAAGATATTATTTTCAAGAAGTTTAGAGGATTGAGTCGACATCTTCTTCTTATTATGATACTTATTCGTTCATTAGGGTTTTTATCCAGGGTGGTTGAGTTTGTCAATGTTTCAACTGAAGGTCATTGAATTTCATACTTCAAGACTTATCATTTGTCTTCGATTTGTTCCTTAGGGCTTTAATTTTGTTGCAAGGTTGTTGGTTATCAAACCATTATGTTTTTGTGGTGTAAAATGCAAAGACATGAATTATGACATATGATGTGAAGTTATGGATTCTTCTTGAGCAATGCATTCTTCTTATGGGAGTTTATTTCGGTTAAAGATTGTATGATATGTTCCTTGTTCAATCAAGATATAGACTAAGGTCATTGGTCATTCGATTTGCAAGATAAGTGAGGTTAAAGTTCATTTTAAGCATACAAAATGGAAGGATCGTTTATGGTTTGTTTCTTGATCATAATATTCGTTCAAATATGTATCATCAAAATGTTATCTATAGATGTTATTCAAGATTCCCAATGAATTATCAAAAGTTCACAATAACAAGCTCATGGAATTTTGGTTTTAAGTCAAAGAAGTTTGGAGTTTCAAATTCAAAAAAAGGGAAAATACTTCACTTCATGGAAAGTCAACGTTTTACATCAAAAGTCATTAAATTTCAAGAATGGTTATTACATGTTTTCAAGACCAAACTCCATTCATTATAAGATACTTTTCTTTTAAAAAAATTGTGAACAAAAGTATTACAAAAATGGAAATTACAAAGGAAATATGAAGAATCCAAAGAAGTACAAAGAAAGGCATCAAGTTTTATTGAATGTTCAAGCATGGAATCATGGCAAAATATCATTTCCAAACCACCAATTCATTGTCATTACATCAATACATTTACATCAAAAGTACATCCTAAGCCTAAACTCCTTCATGCCATGCTTCATGTTCATCCTCTTCCAATTATGTACAGTCGTGCCTTTGATTCCATCACCATATCCTTTGATGGTCCTATCCAATAACCAACCTTCATAAATATCACCATTAAGAAAAATAGGTTTGTATCACTATGCCAAAACAGTTCAGAAAAGATATATGAGACCAAATAGATTCTCACTACTCTAATCCAAACACAAAACCAGTTGACTGCATCAGATTCACCTAACTAAACCAGATTAATCAATACAGTTCGGATAATCAAAGAAACAATATGAAGTCAACAACCATATCCAAAACTCATAACAAATATACATTCAAAAAACTCAGTATCACTTTGAAGCCAAAATCTGAATCTGGTATAGATTTAAAACTGAAGCAGGGTGTTGTCCCAAAATTTGCCGCTCAGATTGCGCATGAGCAACATGGGAATTCGGCTCCCGCTGCTAGAATGGCTATGACACATAGGGTGCATCCTCGTGTTTCTTTGAATCCTTATATGGGTACCCTGGCAATCAAGATTCGAGCCACAAAAATCAGGGAGGGGGACTGAAACTCAAAACAAATCAGAAATAACTATAACAAGTTCAACTGATTTTCCAACTAAATTCATAACTGTCACAACAGAATTTTCCATCCCTCTAACTAACAGAAATATCTTAGCAACTGACTCTAACTGTCTTAACCAATTTTTGCCAGCTCACTGTAACTAACTCATGAGAGATTCAATCCCTACCATTCATTGCTCTAGTTGATTCTCAAATTCAAGGGCCCATATTTGTTCACCTGTAACAAACTTAGCTGCTATATAACAGAGTCTGCATTTCACAATTTGGGGGGAATTCATTTTCCACGATTCACAGAAAATCACAAGATACTCACTCACCTTTGAATCTTTCTGAGATATTTTTGAAGAATTCTCATCTTCAACTTCACTCTTCTCCCAACCATTGTTTCACCATCATCTTCAATTCTCAGAACTCCATCTTCATCTTTCTTGCTCACTTTCAACATCATGACCACTTCAACAATACCTCAGCGTTCCTCACGGACCTCTCCATTCTCTGTATCTTACGACAAACATAACCACCTTCACTCATCACGCTTCAACTGCAATAAACTTCTCAGAAACTTGCAACATCACACACAATTTTAGTATCAACGGATTTCGCAAGAACAAACGGTAACAACGTCACGGTTTCGGTCAATGTGGTTTATAACATGCCGAATGATAATCGCAAGGTCTCGAACTTGAATCTACAATCGTAAGCATGTAGCTCTCATTTCGCCTAAAACCTAGGGTTTGATATATGTTTAGATGTAGAACGAGCGGTAAGGAATTGATGGAAGTAGGCTAAGAATTCGGAAAGGCGAGCAGCAGACGAAGCTGGTGATGTGATTATTCTGTTCTTTCTGGCACCCTTACTTATATACCCCTGAAATCAGTTTTCCACACCCCCTGACTTTTCTAATTTCTTCTTTTGATTTTTTGTTTTGTTTTAATTTTTCTTCCAACTTTCTTAATTTTTCATTAGTGATGAAAAATATAAAAATCAATAAAAATTTGTTAGCTTTTTTATTTGATTTTAGGAATTAGTTCATGATTATTCGATTACTTGAGACTTGTGATTCACTTTTACTTGTCGAGATTTGAGTTTTATGCCAGTTTTATGGGTGATATGCGGATATGCTTGAGTTTTCGATTGCGATTTATTTTCACATCGATGATGTCTTTACACTTATTCCAAGCATTCAATCTCTGACTGTTTATTTGTTGATGCTAGCTCGCGCGAAGTATTTCGGGTTTCTTTGCTTGGTTGCACTTTTTGTGAGAATTATTGTTCGTTTGGTATTATACTGCTTCCAGTTTATCTTTTCACATTTTATTACTTTCTATATGTCATGAGAAGTAAGAAATAAAGAGTGTGCGCTCGAAGTCGCTGTTTAAAGACCTGTAGCAGGCATTCCGCACTTGTTTGCTAATTGTGTTTGTGTTTGTTTTCATGAGTTGACGATCGATGATGTCACTAAATTAGAATTGAGATAACGACTTCGATCTTTGCATGCACCCCTTAGGATTTTCATTTTCCTTTGTTGATGATCAATGATGTCACTCAATTAGAATTGAGATAACGACTTCGATCTTTGCATGCTCCCCTTAGGATTTTCAATTTCCTTTGTTGATGATCGATGATGTCACTCAATTAGGATTGAGATAACGAATTTGATCTTTGCATGTTCCCTTAGGGTCGCTTGATTAGGGTACCTTTCGAGCTATAAATTAGGATAGTTATCCATGCATGCTAACATAGGGTATAAATTTCCCTTTTCATCCTTGACATATGGCCATCATTGTATGATAACATTATGGATTAGACTCTAGATAGTCTCTCTTAGGTGTTTTCTTTCCATTTTGCATTATTGCATTTAAAACTAAAACTTCTTTTTCTTGGCAAATTTATAAAACACGCTAACCATATAAAAATCCTTTTCATGGTAAAAAAACACAAACTAATTCATTTCTTTTCGCCATTCGGCTTTTCTCTTCCAAGAACATGTTGATTCATTTCCACTACAGTGCGTGAGTCTCCAATGGTCGAGCGGCGGTGGAATGATTGAATTTTACATTGTTCATTTAAAAGATACAAATAAACAGAAATTCGTAAGCCGAACTACGACACTCTGATTCCTTAAAAGAGATACGTAGGCATCTGGTCACGGGGCTCAGCCGAGCAAAAATTTATAAATATTTCCTTCTTTTCCCCGTGTTTTCTTTGCATGTATTCCCTCTTTGCATTTTTATTTTATCTATTAAGCATAAAATTGAACACACCCTTTGATTAGAACAACAAGAGTGAGTCCCGTAGAGTACTACGGACGTGAGGGGTGCTAATACCTTCCCCTCGCGTAATCGACTCCCGTATCCGATCTCTTGGTTGCAAGACCTTAATTTCTCCCTTCAGGTTTTTATTTGATGATTTTCCTTTCCCTTTACATCGGATAAATAAATACTCGGTGGCGACTTTATTGATTTTACCACTACATCCACCATGTTCCTTTGTAATTAAAGTAGTTTTATTTTGTTTTGTGGTCCACCATGTTCCTTTGTTGTTTGGCTGTCTGTTGATTAGGTTATTAATTTCGCATTTGAATATTCTAAATTTCAGGCCAAGTCAGAAGACAAAAGTTAGGTTAAGACTCCACCATAGGGGTAGATTTTTAATTGAATATGTTCATTTGTATGTTGGTGGTGAGGTAACTAAAATGAATTGGAAGTGGGATGTTGATTATATGTCATACATGGATATGGAGGGATTGATTAAAGACCAGGGTTATGTATACATCCGTAATTTGTGGTATATGAACCCCAGATTAAGCTTTACTCGTGGTTTTAGGCCATTAAACAATGACCAGGACGTGCTACAGTTTGCCCAAGATGTTGTAGGTCATGAGCTGATTGATGTTTATGTTGAGCATAAAGTCTCTGTTCCACCTGAAATATTGGACCCAAGTGAATTAGATAAATTCATGGATGATGATGATGATGATGTAGAATGTATTGGTCTGAATGTGCATAATGCTAAACTTGATGTGGTTGAACCTGTTGTGAATAAACATAATGTTATTTCTTACACTGAGTATGAGAAGATCACAAATAAAGACTTAACCAAGTCTATATTTGACTCTCTTAAAATAACTCGTGAAGGAAATGATCAAGTCAAGGAAACCAAGGTGTGATCGGTGGATCTGGAACTGACTGTTTAACGCTGGTTCGCGAAATGTCGCGGAAGCAAGAGTCGCCACCGTCTTTTATTTTCTCCAAATGGAAAGGACAAAAGCACAGAAAAATTCCTTATAGAGATTGCTCTCGGTTCGAGAGGTAGATTATAGAAAGGGAAGGTGTTAGCACCCTTTCTATCCATGGTTATCCATGGGCTCTTAGATACTTGCTCATTGTGTTTTCAAAAATGGTTTGTTTGCTTTTCAATTGTGGGTTTTAAAAAAAAGTTTCTTTGAAAATTCCAGTTCGACTCTTGTATCAGTCCTCAAGAGTGTTTGAAAAATTGCTTTCGAAAGCTTTTTGAAAATGTGTTGGTGTGAAAAGTATTTTTGATTTTGTTTTGAAATTAGAGCAAGTATCTAGAGTCGTCTACCTACCCTAAGGAATTCGTCTGTGTAAATATCCTTTAAAGTAGTGCCATCCCATCATTGAGAGGTAGGTAGCACCACCGTTGGAGGTGTTCGGGTCAATTCGAAGGTTCGGGCCATGGTGATCACCGGAGCAATAGGAAGATACCTTAGAAGCTACCCTCATGCCAGGTTCCCGGATCATGAGGACTTACTAAGACATCCTCTACTCGACGATCACCTTTCGAGGCAAGGCAACAGTGAGGCGTACCCTAGGGGTGGTGTGTGCGATTTGTGTGTCGTTTTCATTTGCATTTATCTTGTCATGTCATTGGTATTCTACGCTTGATTTTATTTTTGTCCATACATTCTTTCATGCTCTTGATTAACAGTTATAATGTTTGCGGGAAAGGTAAATTCTAAGCTATTACAAACGGCGCGGGTCCACATCGCCAAAATTAACCAGGACCCGATTTGACAAGAAATAAATAACGTAAAAGAGAATAAAAGAATTAAAAGTGCGAGAAGTAATTTACATGGCTTTGGGAGAGGTACATAATTATTTAAGCAAAATAAAATAAATATGCGAAATAAGAATTAAATCGGAACGAGGGCGTTGGACCCTTTTGCAAAATTAAGCTACATGATGAAATTAATTTAAGAAAAGAAATTGTTTTTGTTTTTTTGGTATTTTTATGTATTTTAAGATTTAATAGAAAAAATTAATTGCAATTAAACGCTAACCCTAATTCTATTTTATTTTAATTTATTTAAGAAAATATTGAATTTTTTAACCTAAATTAAACCCTAATTAATTTACATGCAAATTTGATTATGAGAATAAATAAATTAAATAATATTATTGTGAAAAAGAAAAATTAAAAAGGAATAAAACATTAATTAAACCTAGTTCTACATTTTTTTAGATTTTATTATGAAAAGAATTAAAATTGCAACCTAATTTAAAACTAAATAATTTACATGCATTTATTTACAAGAAATATAAAAATAAAAATATTTATTATATTTTTTATCTTTTCTGATTTTTATGCATTTTTTGTATTTATGAAAATAATTAATTAAATTGGACAAATAATAGTTAAAAGGAATAAAAAATAATAATACAAAAAAGGGTAAAGAAAATAAAAAGAATGTGCAAACCTGGGGGTTCAGACCCCAATATGGAGGTATAGATTCAGTAATCTGGCCCATTTGTTTTGGCCTATTTGGACTTTTTTCTGGTAGCGTGCTGAAGCGTTGACTAGGGCGTAGCGTGTTCTCCAACTCTCAGCCTTTGATCTGATTCCAAGTGCACGTGGCTGTGGGATTCTTGAAGGCATATGGTGCGTCTTGATGCTGGCACTGCATGGGAACATAGATAGCAAAATAATATGGGAAATAATACAGACCTGGGGCTCGAACCCAGGTCATGGATGTTGCTAACGTTCTCGCTTACCAACTGTGCCAACTAACGCGTTTGATAAATAAATAACTAACAATCATTATAAGAATAAAACAAAGGGTTAGTGGATCCACGCGCGAAAATTCAAACCAGCTTATCACGTTTTGCCACGACTTCGTCTTCTCCATCATCCCTGCAATATAAAACATTAGGCAACGGTTTCCTATGTGTTTTCTTAAGCCAGTTTTGGGAAAATAGCGAATAGGTCTAGGAGGTCCATAAATTAGGCGCGAGCATGGTATCTTCTTCGTCCAGACCTGCTGAATCTAATGGCACAGGTCTTGAAGGCTAATTTTTCTTAATTTCAGAAGCCCTAATTCCAAGCTTCCTGAACCCTAAATATCATCAATGGCGAAATCATATATAGCACATAAAAATACAATTAATTATATTGGTTAGCTTCAGAATTTCATCAGGAATATGAATCAATAAATAAAATGTTATGAAGATGCATAAATTTTAAAACACGATGATGAATTTTTCACTAGGTATCTTG